TGAGATAATTTGGGATAGAAAGTGATTTGAGACGTGAAAGACAACACGTGAGCCTCCTGACCGTCATTAACATGATCAGGCCAGATGAGGTTACGGTTGAAAATAACGCCAAGGTATTTGACAGACGGTTATCGTTTCATCTGGTCACTGAGGATGGATAGAGGCGGGTTGGTATTTGATAATTTATCATACTTTTGTCTCTTCAAAAAGGACAGAAATTCGTCATTACATTTTTAGGGTTCATGAGGAGGTTCCTTTGTTGATACCACTCAACTATTTCTTCTTGTAGAGTGGTTTGAAATGATGATTTGGGGTATGGCAGTCCGAATATTATATCGTCTTCCTACTTTACAAGAAGAGAAGAATTGCTCTCAGGTATAGAGGAAATATAAGCAGAAAATAGAGAAGGGGATAATATAGCGCCTTGTGAGGAGGGCATCAATGAAGATGTACGACCTCTGTAGTGTGTGAACTGCTGACGGTTGGAGAAATGGTTGACCAAGAGTTAAACCGTAGAAGATTGAACTCCGCCCGAAGAAAGGCTACGTAGCAAAGTTTGTCGATCAATTGTGTTGAAAGCATCACTGTAGTCAAGAAAACATGCGTACAGCCTTTCTTACGTTATCCAGGTTGGATAAATCAAAGTGGGACAGGTAATCAAGGGTATCCAAGGTGCGCGTTAATGGGTGTATGCAAACTGGTTCGGGTCACCAACATTGAACAGTGTGGACAGGGTCTTAATGAGGAGCCTCTCAAACACCTTCAAAACAACTGAGGTGCAGGCAGCGGGACGGAATTATTACGCGCGTTTGTTTTCTGATCTAGTTGTTTCCGAATAGGAGACGAAGCAGCAGTTCTAATGAACTCAGTCCAGAGAATTACTTTCAGTGAGGTCTGATTCAAGACAACAATTCGTATACGATGCTAAGTGGAGTTCAATACAGGAATACGATCAGGTCTTAATGGGACTGCAAGAAGCGTGCTTTTATGAAGGACGTGAACACAGAGCCGTGTTTTTCAATATCAAATGAGGCTTTATACCGGAAGTCTATCATGATCTCATCACCGGACAAGTTGGGACGCAATGGCTGTTCGCTTGTCGGGCGGTCGATCGCACGGAGTCGGCTGTTTTGTTTTGATCTTCGAGGAATAAATTTCTCCTCAACACCGGTCTACTAGACCTAATTATTTTGTTTTTCTTGCGCTTCTCCTCTTATGTACTTCACAAACACTTTACCATTTTAGAATTTTTCCAAGTTTGAAAACCGTATCTCAAGATAGTTCAATACACTTTAACTTTCCAATTGTCAATCCACAGTTACTTTGCGGGTATCATCAATAATCCTCCACAGAGTAAAGTGATACTATGATGATACTGGAATTCTGTTTCACGCTCTGCATTCGGGTAACGATTATGCGGCATTATTTTTCTCTATGGCTGTTACTCGGCACTTGACGTCTAATTTGTGCCTGATCTACCTTTGTTGCCTTCGTAGGGGTCCCTCATCCGCTTGTTTCCCAAGACATGAGACGTCGTTACCAACGGAGATACTCTTTCTTTTGGCCCTCATCTACCCTGTGTGATTCATTCTAGGTAGCTCTGTTTCCCGAACGCACATGTGAGGGTGTTTCCGCACAACAGGATGAAATATTCCTTGAAGTCGTACTCGATCAGCTCACTCATTGTCTCCGATCAGGCAGTGCATCTGCCAGTGCCTCGGGGACCAGTTTCGCCACTTCTGTCTCAGCTCCCGCCGGGGCTGGTGGTGTGGCGTCCACCAGCATTGTGGGCTATGCCACATTCGGCCAAGGTCACGGATCCGCTCCGTCTGTTCACGGACTAAAAATCAAATTGGTCAGACGCAGCACACCGTGTTTGGCGATTGAATTGGAACAAGTATGTGTTCTTATGTCTGTGCCGCGATTGATTGTGCTCTTGGCTTCACCCCGGGGCCGTTTAGGCCTTTAGTTTCGGTCGACCAAATATAAGTGACACACCACGGTGCCAGGTGGATGGTTTGTTTTACACACGTCATTGCGATCAGTTTTTTATTCTTGTTATCGTCCGAGAACGTGCTGTCCCGTTGGCCAATGAAATGCGCTATTCAATCATTTAACAAAATGCTCCGATTTTATAGATTTGTAACAGTCAGCGAAAAAAAATGCATACAAAACGATTTTTGAATTGAAGGTAAATTGTTTTCATTGATTCATCTTCTAGCCTGTACAGATCAAACAAGGAAATGGCGTGTCAAACGGGGATAGACATTCAGCTATTCAAGAGTCACAGTGATTGGTTGAAAGGGAGAAGAATAAGGAAGGGGGTGAGTGGTGCGACGTGTTTCATTGGTCGAACGGCGAGGCAACTGTCTCAGCGGATGAAAGAGCATTTTCAACACGGTGGAAAAGGTGTCACAGGAAACGCTATTCTCGTGTCACCAAATGAAGCCTGAACCAACCTTCGAAGTTATCTATCCAGTACCACCTCACCCATCCGAGTCGCTGCTTCTCCACACCCCAACCACTGCAGAAGCGATCGGCATTCGGTTGTTCACGCCCGATCTATGTGTACAAAAGAGATTGACCCATGCTATTCAACTGCCGTGACCGAAGGTTGACGCGTCACCACCTGATCGCAGTGTTGTGCTGACCTAGTGATGTGAAACACGTCGCACCACTCATCCCTCTCCCTTAAGACCAACCACTGTGACTTATATTATATATATATATATATATATATTATATTTTCACACACGTCTTAATCCAGACGGTATGCCAAGTAAATCGTGGTGTTATAATCTTTATGCAAAAGAAAGACGTTCCATGATTTGCATATGGGCCTAATACTGTCAGGCTGCCCAGGCCGAGGCGGATGAATTCTCTTGAGGAATCCACAATCGGAGCCTTTCTCTAACCAATGCCTAATCCGCAAGGCAGCTGGATGGTGTGCGAGAACCGCAATCCATTGGGGGCCGGTGTCCAGTTCATCGGATCATACAACCTTTGAACGAGGTCAGACGTCCAAGGTGCCCAATACACCTCGATGTCCAATTGAGCCGGTGACCACAACCGGGAAAGTGTGTGGCTCGTGCGCTTCCTCTTGGTTGTTTTGGGATCAGGGTTTTTAGCAAACTGCCTTAGGTGAACTGTCAATGGTTCACCAACCCGGTTATATCCCCGGATATCGGCTTTTCATCTTCTCACTTTGGTGGGAAAACACCTCCGCACGAGAAGGCAATAAGTAGGGCCTCCTCAGCAGGGGTTATTTGAGACGTTTGGTCGTATGGGAGCATTTGGCAAGGTGCAAGAGAAGGGTGACCAGCGATCGGTGTATTTCGCTTTACTGTATCTCGCTGTACGATGATGCTGATGATGACCAGCCGCAAACCTAGAAACTCACCCCCAACCATACTAAGGCTTTTCGAGGTAGACGATGAATCATTGAAAACCATCGTTCGCTTCTGAACGCGTGTTCTCAAAGCAAAGTAAAGCGATTAGACTGGTCCACACAACTAGTGATGGGGTAGAATAAACCCAGTAAATCCCATCTCTAGGTAGACTTCTTGAATCTTGGTCCACGTGTGTCGATAAACGCGGTTCTTCGAGCGGAATGAAGTATACAGTTTTATATAACATTCAACGTAAAGAATGTCGCCGAAATTTGTTTCATGTACAAACGTTTTGATTTCACTTTGTTTAAGAGTCGGTCCAGGTAAGGTAAAGGGGAATTCTCACAAATGTTAATACGAGAGGGTAGATGCAGAAAAGAGGAGCGTGTGAACAGATGGGAACGACAATATGATAAGTCGGGATCCAACGGATGAAGAGGATCGTCGAGAATCTCATTGGCAAATTTAAAACAAGAGTTGTATGACCACTAATGAGTTCTGTAATTAATGAATTGATTGGGATTAATTATGTACGACTGACTATCATTAAACCACGACGAATGGTTTTGAAGTCTTGTTTTAAAAGGCCGGGAAACACTACAGAGAGCGATAAAGTAGAATGGGCAAAAGGTATTGGTGAACGAAAGAGGACAGGACTCACCGTGGTGTTCAGAATTGCCTGAGTTTGCGTAACTAAAAAGACAAGCATCGGACAAATGTGTGTAAAACACCGCAGATTACCGTCAATGGTGACACCTAGTTACTTGACTGAGGTCATTCTGGACATAGGGTTACCGCTAAGAATAGCAGATTCCTTTCGTAATGTGGAACGGAGAGACTGAACATGCACTCTATGGCCTCAAAATGCGAACGGTATCACGTTTTTGCTGTACTCGGTTCAGAAAAGTGCCTGAGCTTCTTTCCGAAATAACCATGGCGCTCAGTTTGCCCCATTATCCCACTTTGCTCTGCCATTTCAGACAAGTATCACGGGACGTTCACGTGCAGTGTGGCATTTCATTCCCGTCCACGTAGTTCCCCCACGCCTTTGGGACGAATTCCTCGAACCACCTGATCCGGCCTTCGATGTGAGCAGTTTGGTACTATTTCCCGTGCGATCTCGCACTTCACTCATTCAACTATCTCGCTTGATGCATGATGCAGACCTTTCTGTTCATCTGTTGGTTGAATCTTGTTGTTTTTATATTAAACTCGACTGTTATTGGATCTGTATAGAAATGTTTGGATGAGCTAATCATACACAAACATATTCCCGGGAAACACTTAACTCGAGTTTCGTTCTCATTAGACTTCAGTAACACATATCCATGGACTTGCTTCAGATTTGAACTGCGCAATGATCGCCCTAAAGGGATGTGGTATCACTGTGCTTACCAGCTCACAACTGGTCTGACTACGCACTTCCATTTCATTTCAACTGTGATCCTTGGAGAAAGTCGCCTGCTGGCAAAGAATTGCAGTGTCGCGGTAAAAATCAAATGCGAGATCTTTGTACCTTTCCTATCTAAAGCAACAAAAGTGTTATCCTTCATGTCCTCACGCGGTGCACTAGCGCAACAGACCGCAGAGATGTAAAATAGTATTCATGGCATTCACCGTCCAATGAAGCAAGGATTCAAATTTAAATATTCCAACTGACGCAGGGATAGCAGAGAACCAATCTTAGACAGTATAACCCATCAAGGATTGAACAGAGGTATCGTTCAATTGAGTGAACACAGAAATGCAAACCCAGCGTGCATGTTAGTCCTCGATGTGTCTCACGGTTTCGGCAAAAATAAATCGTAAGTTGCTGACATATCGAGAATTCTTTGACTGGTCTCGTGTTATACGCCATTGGATCCTGAGGATAACTCCTCTCGGAATACAGTCACTTGTCGCCATTCCCCATGATCCTCTTCAGTTCGCGTATAAACCCAACAAATCCACTTTGGATGTTGTGTCTACTCTGGTCCAGCTTATAAGCAATTCATTGAACAGCTCTGCCAAATCTGTTCGTTCCGTTTTCCTCGATTATTCGTCTGCTTTTGATTCTGTATCCCGGTGATCCCTCCTTTTGAGACTTGAATCTTTTTTGCACCGCGAGACAGCTACTTTCACGGCTTTCTGATTATTTCACCGAAAGAACCCAGTGCACAAAGCTGGGCAGGAATGCCTCAAGTCCTCTAGTCAATAATT